GTGCGCGGCCGCGCACCTTAGAGTGAACAGTGGTGGTGGGTTGCAGGCAGTATGCCCCGGTACAGGTGTACCGGAGCCTGTCCGGAGCACCGTGTTCTGTTCCAGTGCTCCGGAGGGTCCACCCGCCCAAGCTCCTTACCGTGTTTTAAAGCTGTGGGCACTTCCGCACACATGCATGGCATGTACAGCGCCTGCACGACGCTCTGCCGAGCAGCTGGAGCATTGCGGAGGCTTGCAGAAGTGTCGTTTCCAGCTACAATGCGCGCGGGGGGCATGTGTGCATGTGGGTGACGCTGTGGCCATTCCAACTGTACTGGTTGGAATGGAATCCGGAACCCACCACTGATGTTTATTATCTTGATGTGTATATGTGTAGACATCCATGTTGTATTCATAAGGGTGGCTTGCCACTGTTTTCTGTTATTATTTGGTTTTATTTCCCAATTTCTTCACCATTTCTATAGTCCTGGGATATTCTGATGGTCTGTCACCCAGATGCCATCCAGGCCTCAACTTGCTATTATTAAGATCAACTAGGTGTTGCCACTGCTGTATGAGCTCCCTCTATTCTCTAGCTTTTAAAAAGCCATTTATAGGGATAGAAGTATTGGTGGGTAGAAATGTATAGATAATTAAAAATATTTACTGCTATTTCCAGGGAGAATCAGCAGCGTTTGCAGGCTGACTTTGCTGAGATGATAAAGGACTCTTTGCAAAAAAGACCAAAGGGAGATTGCCAGATGCAAGAGATTTCGTGCATGACTAGCTACTACAAAGACACCCTGGAATATCTGCAGTTGGCTACTACAGGACACTCTGCCACTTCTCTGTAAAACTAGATAGGAACAAGTTAGGAATAAAATGATTTTGTGTTCCTACCATCGCCACCCATTTGCAAGATTGAAGAGAGCAAGACTGGTTAAAAACAGAATGTTGCTCATTCCTTTAAGTATCGTTATATCAGTAAGAGTCTGATGGCACCTTTTCAAACTAGCAAGCATTATTAAAAGACATACAAGTTTTCATCACTAGAGTTTATTTTTTTAATAGAATGTGTTAGTTTGCAACAATGCTTGGCTACCATAGACTAACATGGCTCTCTGTAATATCTTCTGTATTTGTATTCGTATCATTACATAAGTAATTAATAAACTGTGAAAAGATACCCTTTGCTGCATTTCCAACATGTAAATAATTTAATGCAAGCTGCTTCTGCTGACTTATTAGAGCCTTTACTAGTACCCTGCTTTTTGGATGTGCAGGTAGAAAAGGAAGAGACTGTCAACTACCAGTAGTATCTTTTAGACTCAGTACATTGCTTATGGTTATAAAGGAAGAATTTTATATGTTATTTAAAATCTGTTAAGGCATTTTTTTGATGATGTATTTGTTCTGTAACATTTGGGAATGTAACCAATCTGTTTGAAAATGCAATAAAACTTTTGGATAAGAGTATCTTGTAGAACTTGTTCTTCCCATGCTACAGATGAAACATGAATATCTATCTCCATAAACACACCCTCTTACTTGAGATATATTCAGAGGCACACAAGTATGTGGATGTTGGCATTTTGTTGCTATCCTATATAGTTTTTCATACATGTTTTTATTTTGTATTTTATAACATTAAGATTACTTATGACTTATGTACAATTGAGAGTACTTGTTTGGAGGATCATTTGCATGGTAAGAAAAAAGGATACAAAATGCTGCAAAGAAAGAAAAAAGCTGTCCTTTTTGGGGTCTCCACTAGCAACACAACTGGCAATATGGGTATTACTCTGTTATGCTATGATTTCATTTTCATAGCAGTATTAAGACTGTCTTTTGCTCAAGTATAGTGTTTGAGCAGCACATTTTCATGCCTGAGCACCTGAATTTTTTTGAACCATAATTGCAGATGTTGGGGAGGGGGGCAAGGAGGAAAAGGGTCCCTTCCCTTTCCCTCAGACCCCCAGGAAGGAAGGAAGGGAGGGGGAGGGAAAGGAAATGGGAAAGAAGAAAAGGAAAAAGGAAAGGAAATGGAAAAGGAAAGGAAGAAGGAAAGGAAATGGAAAAGAAGGAAAGGAAAAAGGAAAGGAAATGGAAAAGGAAAGGAAGAAGGAAAGGAAATGGAAAAGAAGGAAAGGAAAAAGGAAAGGAAATGGGAAAGAAGGAAGAAGGAAAGGAA